TGCAAAGGATATCGATGACTTGGTCATACACTATTTTCCTCTCTCCCAGCTCTTCTCCGGATCTCCTTTGGCGCATGAGATCAATTATGTCCCCCCGGAGCTGCCGTTGAAGAGAGGTCAATCGTGTCGCATCCAGAATTGCAATATCTAATCCCTGCATGCTGGCTAAAGTTTCCAGATGAGCCATCGCTTGTGACTGGTGAGTGGAATCCAGCTTCAAATCAGGTAGAGCAAGTAGTGGCTGCACTAAGTGTCAGTGGAGTCGAGGAAGGGCGAGAGCACCTCACTCGGCTGCTCGGCGTAATTGAACTCTCGTACCTCCTGAATCTGGCACTAGGCACATGGTTAAATTTTGTGCACTTAAAAGTATCGTATAAGTGGTAAGGCACCTCCAGTTATCCTCCCCAAATTTATTTGCTAATCCGTTTTTAGTAGTATCAGTAATGCACTTAAATGGGGTGCTAATCAACCACTAATCAGCGACTCGCGATTTCTTAGTACTTGAATTTATCCTCTATTTATTTCTGAGAAGGACCTTTTCTGCAGAGTCTATAACCAAAGGTGCCTCAGTACTAATTGACTGATTTTAAGTGCACAAAATTGGATCGCGCGCGTAGTGTGGTTTCATTCCATGCATATCGCTGTTGCGCCAGGCTAGCCTTGATATGTTATTAACTCTATTAAATTGATACCTACTTGAAGCTGAGGAGAGGTCTTCCTTTGCACCAGAGTCGCACTTGATATGATGTAACCCGGCCATGCTAAGATGGAGCAATTCTGGTGTTCCTTCAAGCTAGGTACATCTTCACGCTACTAGTACTGTATTCATAAACACCAGTAAGTGCCTACATACCCTCTTTTGAAGGCCGGTTTAATGCACTGCTGATTGATCCATTGCGCCATTTGAACTCTTCGACCAGACCACGACCGCGCATGAGCTGATTGCCCTTTGCGTGCATGCAACATATCTTTCTCCGATCTCTCATCTAGAGTAGAAAATCTTAGTATAAATATGAGCTCATCTATCGGTCAATTTTGTCTAAAGACGAAAATAGCATTCTTGTGCAACAGGGTCGTGATCAGCGTCGATACATAGCTAATGCTCGTCTCTCATAGACTTGAGATATGAACTTTGAAATACATGCTCTACCGAATTTCTTCAAAAAAAATACTGACAACCTTGGCATAGGCTCCGGTGTTCACAAGGTGGGACAGTTCGCAGCCAGTCTCTTGCAAAGGGGCAATGATGATTATCATCCTGGTGAATAGGTTATCAGAATTGACCGAGGTGTTGGCATCAATCGATCACTCACCACCACATCCACCGCACCCACCACAATTACCACCACCGCCACCACTGCAAGTGCTTCCGCATGGCCCGCCACGGCATCCAGCCGAGCCACAACCCGAGCCGCAGCCTCCCACTCCTCCACCATATGCATATCCACCGTAGAACCTAGCGAGGTACTGGTTAGAGCAGATAGTAGCTTGATCCATACAGAGTATCTCACCCGAGCGGAATAGCAGCAGACACTCCCCAATAGGCGTAATAGTGATCATACCCATGGTGAATATCCGTGAATGCCTCTTTATGCTTCTTATTTCCATCCTTGTCATCCAACAATCCGAGCTGAGTCTTCTCCGCTCTTTCGGCTTGCAGGACTCTCCACTGGTCCTTGTCACCCGATTTCTTCACGTTTGCAACACACCTAATAGACTTTCTCTCCCGTTTAGTACTCCTCGATTTGGTTTTTTTATTGTTTGGATCACCAAAGTACACATTGTGCTCGGAAGGGTGAGATGTGTCGGCCTCATGATCTTCAGTTGTGACCAAATCGGGACGCGTATTGACCAAGGTGTCCTCGGTACTGTTATCTGACTTTTCATGCTTATGGCCAAAGATCGATAGTCTTGAGATAAATCGACTGAGGCGATTCCCTGGCACACGATCGGGAATACAGCCGCAGACTGAATACGGTACGCCGAAACGGTCCTTCCATGCTTTGGCTGTGACGTCATATGCAATCGAGAGCGAAGTCGCCTCTACGTTATCATCATGATTGGGAGTTCGCTGGAGGTAGGTTTGAGTGTCAAGTCTGTATTGATCACCCTTTAATTGGTGCGTGTGCCATGCAAGATCCTGCAAGTCATACGGTTGAGTAAATGGGACTGAGAGTATTGTTGGTACTTACAATATCCTGAGCCAGTAAGTTAGTTATCTTTTTAACATCATAATTGTCGACATACCAAAGTGGGCACCAGGAACAAGGCCGGATTTTGACTCATGAGGTCCAAAAAGGCATGGTATCTCGCAATACACCTCACCAATGGAGC